ACTAGGTAAACAACTCTGATATCAAGCATAGGTTGTTTAGTAAGAACAATAAATCAACGGATGATTTATTTGATAAAGTGAGTTAGTGTGCATATGTGTTAAAAATGCACGATCAACGATTATATCAATATTTTATTTCAAATAACACAGATGTAACTTTTGGAGGTACCGATGCCAAGGTTGAACTTGATAGTTTCAAATAATTTGAGAAAGTTATTAATCAATATATTTCTTTTGTTATATCTCAATGAGTAGAAAAATCGGATTTCTGACGTTTCATAACTTAATGTAAGCCATTTCTTCAGAGCAAATAGATAACTGAATTAACTCAAGTTTAAATAATACAAAGGAAACATTACACTCTAAAGCAGTGGCCTACATTAAGTCACGACACATCGTCCGGAATACAATTTTTCTACTCATTGGGATATTATATATATATATATAAAAACATAATTAAAAGATGTAGATTTTAATGAAACGTTAACAAAAACCTAGACCAAGGGCATATGGTATCGATCTGATGTCCTGTATCAAGTAGATGTTTGGTGATTGTACTATTTAGAGTCTTTCCTTCCCTTGTTCTGAGGCTTTTTGGAACATGTTCAAAAAATCTAAGATATGCTCTCCTTTCTGTTCGGCCAGTTGCTATCAGACGCCAAAAACCTGATTTATGTGTTCAAAAGGAGATGGTTATTAATCTTTCCTTGCGTTGGTGACTAATATTCCTTCGCTGTATCTTAATATATTCTTTTTCCTTTTTTTTAAAACTCTTTCTTGCACTTATCACATCACTGAGTTCTATTCCAACTATCTTCCAGATTAATAATCTTATTTTATCAACTGAACTCTACTCATTTTATTCCTACCAATTTTTACTTGTTTCTAACCCTTTGAACTGTTGTCACAATGTTCTTTTAAATAAGGTATATATTTACAATATTCAGTCTATTAAATTTATTTATACCCTTGCTATACTATACGAATATGTCTTCAATATAACATCCAATCAAACTCTTTCATGTAATTTAAACCCACTATGTAATTATGATTTTAAATATCACAGGTTGTAAGCAGCTGACGAGAACCAACGAAATAAAAATGAATGCATGCTATTCTGCTAGAATGTTTGTTCTTGCTCTTTTCAAAATGATAAAGGGAACTATGTGTATGAAAGATATATGTTACCTATATTGTACAAAACTCTTAATATAACTTAATCATTATTACACCAACTGCATTACAGATGAAAGCATACTCTTAATAATAAGTTTATAATCAAAAAATCATTTGTGTGCTCCAATAAGCTAACAGTGGACTGAATTTATATTGATCGATTTTTGTTGTTGTTTTGTTTTACAGGTTAAATGAACACATAAAATATCGTCATATGGTATGATGAAGACGTAAATATCTTAGACATTGTCTATTATAATCACTAATTGTTTTCATCTCATTGTAGAAAACAATTGAAAACAAATAAATCACAATAAAGCTGATCTATCGATAAATATGGATCAGTTCAAGTTAAAAGAGATTTTGTCAACTATATTAAACTTACATTATATTAAACTTATAAATTCGGATTTAAAGTTGACCAGTGGAGTGAAATGATATAGTCAGTTAGCTAAAGGTGTACCTATAAAAGTTCGAGAATAGGTTAAGGATGATTCTCACACAAATGCCTTGGTACGGCCGAGAGTCGAGAGAGTCAGCTCTCCTCTCCAAATGCTCTCACATGGCCAAGTGGATACAATCACTCTCAGGGAAGTCCTACTCACTGCCTTCAAGTGGTAGGAGTATTCTTTACGAAATTGAGAGAATGAAAAGCGAATCTCTGGAGCTTTAACCGGGATGGTGGACACGGAGAGTCCACCTAGGAAAGTTGGACTACCCTGATTCCAAACCAATGGTGTACATGGGCTCCATTATCCTGAAGGAACAAGTGGCGTATGAACTAGTCGTTGGTCACCGGCTACCATGGGACAGCATCTCCTTACGTTGCTCCACTGCCTTGTAGATTAGACCTTCAGGTCGAAGGTGCAGGGTGTGGCCCCCTAAGAAAACCACCTGCTTCGGTCTGGGCACCTGGGAAGTATCCCAGCCCTCGCACAAATCGGATGATTTATGTGGCACATATCTATGTGGTTTACTTGGGGCGCTACTCCCCAAGCCTTTGACCCACAAGTCTAATCCACAAGGTAGGGCAGCAATGTTAGGAGATACAGTGCTATGGTAGCCGGTGGCCAACAATAGGTTCATACGCCTTTTATTCCTTTAGGTTCGTGGAGCCCATGTGCACCACTGATATGGAATTAGGGTTTTCTAACTCTCCTAGATGAATCCTCCATTTCTACCAACGTCGTTAAAGTTCTGGACATTCGCTTTTCTTCCTCTCAATTTCGTAGACAACACCGACGTCTAGAGGAGATAGTAAGACTTCTCTGGTAGTGGCTGTACACAGGTGGCCATGTGAGAGTATTTGGAGAGAGTGAGTTTACTCCGCAATATTGTACAACCATTTTCCAGTGTTGTTGATGGGTAACCGCCCCACACAATTGAGTCATAATATATTTGTATACTGATAGTGAATGATATTCTAGAATCACCAACTAACAATAACTAAGTATATGAACCGTTATGGGTTATTTAGCTCTGTAATAAACCTAAACCTATTTTTAGATTCGTAAACTTATAAGTATAAATAACCTTAACATATCCATAAATATAAATAAATCACTTAAATTCAACTATACTATAAAAACCTCATAATTTTTTCAACATAAAACATATATGCCTAACAGTGGAATCCAGAATTCACGTTTCACTATATATATATATATATATATATATATATATATATATATATATATTTCTTCAAACTATTACAAATTACGTTAAGAGTCATACTCATTGCACAAGCTAGTGGTTCAGTAGATAAATTGTTAGGTGTTTGAGGTGCTGAGTCCTAGTTCTTATGTAAACATCAACACTGAGATACAGCAACATTTAATAAACAAACTAAAAATAGGATGAAATGCGAGTAGAGAATTCTAATGCTAGCTACATTCCATCTGTCCAACAAAATGATCATTTCGAAACAGCCCGCAACGGACCAACATACACTAACAAAAACTATCCAAAATTCAATCCTTAATATCAACCAGATAAATAAAATTATCATAAATTGAATTGTTTGTTAAGTATTAAATCAATTGTCTTCTAAGCATATAATCAACTCTCTATAATTTACTAAATTAGTTGAAAATACTAAATCACAATAACAACCTAGCTAAAACAGAAACAAATAACTTTGATCAAGACGAAGGTTTACAGTTCAAATGGATCCCTATTTTATGTAGCCGGGCGGTAGTTAGGTTGCCTAGAAGAACAACGAATGCTTCGTAATTAAACCACGAAGCTCATATAATACAACATTATGAAAAACGCATCTTTATGCATCGAGTATCAATGTGTATGTCAACACTGGGATTTAGGTACATACAGCTTATGAGTCTCAAACAAGACGATCTGCACATCCCCGATACTATTTTTAGCCACAATGCAAATAAGCTTAAACCTGATAATTAAGAAACAATGTCAAGGCAGTTCACTCAGTATACATATATACCAACAGAGATTGATCAGTCTCAGTACAAGCAATGGGAAAATTTACACACACCTACATATTGTCCCCAAATGCTCTCAAGTGGCCACGTTCATACAACCACTGCCAGGGAAGTCCTACTCACTGCCTTTTTGTGGAAGGAGTGTTGTTTACGAAATTGAGAGAGCGGAAAGCGAATGCCCTGCGTTTTAACTGGGTTGGTGGAAATGGAGGATTCATCTAGCGGAATTGGAATACCTCGATTCCAAACCAATGGTGTACATGGGCTCCAGGATCCTGAGGGAAATAAAGACGTATGAACCTATTGTTGGTCACTGGCTACCATAGCACTGTATCTCCTAACATTGCTGCCCTACCTTGTGGATTGGACTTGTAGGTCAAAGGCTTGGGGAGTAGCTCCCTAAGAAAACCACTTGCTTAGGTTTGGGCACCCGGGAAGTATCACAGCCCTCACAAAAACCGAATGATTTATGTGGCGCATATCTGTTCTCAAGGAAAGCACGACACTTTTAGATTTTTGAGTTAACACCATACGGTGAGGTCCTGAGAATTCCTGAACTAAAATCAAAGCAGTACTGTTCAATGGTGCGACAAATATTTTTAATGTCTTTCAATTGACTTAAGCATTTTAATGAAATTTATCTCTAACAACACCTTATATTATTAATAACATAACAATAGTTTGTCTAGGATAGTTTCACAACGAGTTTGTTTATTAAAACTGCATGACTGCAAATATATACGTAAATATTTACAACTAAATGATCCCTTTGTAGTCCTTAAGTGCTTATCTAATTTTATCGATCAAGTAGCAAAGTGCCCACTAGTCTATGTGACTAAAAATATGGAGAACCAAGTTTAGATAATAGATAGTCGGATGTAGTCGGTTGGAAGCTATGGTGTTGGGCTTCATGTTAGTTTCTAGTCGTCTACAAGGTGCACCTTCAGTTGTTCGGGAAATAATGATCATTGTGGGATCCAAACTGGAGTCATACAGAACTAAGGTCTAAATACACATAAAATTAGTCATTGCTCAAAGATCAGTCAGTTGTAAATAGATATTTAGGATTCTATTGATGAAATCTCATGGCGGGCATCAGTTCAGTTGAGGTTGCAAGTATGCATTGTTGACATATGCCAACTAGAAAAACACCTAGGTCCATAGTTTGCTGCTGACTACCTCCACCAAACACTTAACATATATACTCATTAAATTATTAATCTATTAACAAATTGTATGTTCGTTGTTAATAACATTAAAATATACTCAGTTGCAATCAGAGAATCGACTAGATAGTTTGGAACTTCTGGAGTGGGTATTTTCAAAAAAACTATTAATAACAAATAATCAAAAATATTTAGAATAACTTACTAATTTAGATGGCAATTCATTAGTATTTGATTTATTAGTTGTTAAATCATTCGAAGACATTGTAGACACATTTACCATATTGAAATTACAGATCCCAGTGGAATTTGTTGTCAGATCATGTTTCAAGTTTAAACTATTATTATTATTATTGTTGTTGTTGTTATTATTATTATTGTTTGTACATACTGATATTGATGATAACGATGGTGATAAAGGCGACGGTGATGATACCAAGGAGGAGAATGGAATTGATAAAGTCTCACAATCTGCCTTTTTACTTTTATCATTATTATTATTATCAGATAAAGATGGGAACTTTTGTTCATTCTGTCGAAATTTCTCGTTTGATTGTAACTTTTTCCGCTGTCGATGTTGATGGTGATGTTGTCGATTCTGTTGTTTCGATTGTTGCCGCCGACATTGTCGTTGTCCCCGTGATCGTCTTTGGCGTCGATCACCTTTAACCTCTTTTGCCTCTTCTCCCTCTTTTTTATCTTCACTGTCATTATTATCAGTTATTTCTTCCACACTACAAACTTTATTTAAATTACTTACAAAAGATAATAAGGATAATGGACAATTTAATGGATTTGTATACGTTGGTGCTGCACTTCGATGACTAATATTACTATTAGTAGTAGGAGGAGTTATACTGTTCGATGTTATGATTTGTTCTAGATAATTTCCATACTTTTCTGATTGATTCTCATTATTACTATTATTATTATTATTATTATGTTCACAGTAATGATAATGATGTGTCAGTAGTTGTGAATCTTTACAAAGTTGTTGAAATTGACCTGGATCATTATGATTAGAAATGGTTGTGGTTGTTAATGTGGATTTGGGCATTTCATAATTTCTGCTTATATCGTGTAAATAATGAATGAAAGCATTACGACGATTATCTTGAGATATCTTTACTGAATTATTCAAAGAATCCGATTCATTAATGTCTAAAATTTTTTGAAAATTAGATAAAATGTTGTTTGATGTATTGTGTGTGCTAACATTGATAGAATCTGTTGTTGGTGTTGTTGTATTCGGATTAGTAGAAGTAATACGTACATTGAAATGATGTTGATTTGATTGTCTGGTTCGCATTTTTTGCAATATACGTAGCTATACAAGAATAAAATTGCAAACAAGAAATAGATCTAAATTGAAAGTATACAGAAAATATATGAATATAAAATTAGAACTATTAAATAAAATAAGTTACGACATTTTGCCTCTTTGATGTTTATGTGTAAATTCAGCTGCGCTAGTGGAAATTGACAAATTGGACATGTCACCTTAACCAACCAATGAGTCAATACCCCCTTGATTATTTTGGAAAGAGTGATTTATCGTGTAATTTTGTCATTTCCCGACAGCATTCAGCCTCGTATCTAACAAAAGCTTTAAGGATTCGAACGTAAAACCCTGGTCTATGTATTTAAAAGAAATTCGTGACATTTTTTGGTTGGATACGGCTGCATAAACGGTTCTCTTAATTTTTCACATCCTTGGTTTACTTTTTTTTTCACTCTCCTACGTATACGTCCTTTACTATCTGATTATTTGAACATTTCTTGTTAGGCAGTTTGTTGTTGTCTTAATGTCTATTTTTCCACATTTTGACCTAATTCCTATATTGAAATATTGATTGAGGCTTTTAGTATTCTTATCACTACCAGGACACTTGTCATCTCACTACTAATTTAAATATTCTTAGTTACAATTGTGTCCCTCACACTTCATTATGATTTGGACTTCCTTCAAAAGTAATTTCCTTATTCTTAATACTACATTTATCATTCTTATCTTATACAACATATTTTTGAATCATTATCATTAATGTCATTATGATTATTATTACTATTATCATCATCAAAGCAACCACAACACAACAACTTTTACTTCCAGTATGAGAGATTGTTGAATTTCATTGAGGTCATCAGCTGATCTAATTCAGACCACCATTGAAAACAGGGAGGCACTGAACGGGCGTTTCGTCCCAATACGAGACTCTTCATCACTGCGCATCCACAATCCCGTAGGCAAGAGTCCCACTAAATACCTCAGGTCTTAAAATCTAGACCAATGATTCGGCACTCAACGGTGTTAACGAATAACTTTATTCAAACCACAATACTATATGGAAATATCCCATTATTTTCTATGGGTACCTGCTTTACACCTAACACGGATTAGATTTATTGGTAGCAACGAGGCAGAAGGGTCTGGGTTCGTTTCCTGATTGTAGGTTTGTGGATGTTTATTGGTGAGAAGTCCTATATTAGGACGAAACGGCCGTCCATTGCTTCCAGATTTCTAATGATGGTTTGATTTAGATCGGCTCATGGTGTCAAAGAAATTTCTATTTTGCATGAATATTTTTTAAACTACAATTTTAACTTATTCATTAGACAATAGATGGTCGCATAATATCGTGGATTGATTGAACTTAGGCATTAACACAGTTGAATTCTGGCTCAGTGGTTTACAGGTTAAGTGTCCGCGCGCGAGGTCAAGGGTGCTGGTTTCGTCTCTTGATTGCGAGACCATGGATGTGCAGTAGTGAGGAGTCTAAAACTGGGACGAAACCACCATTCATTGCTTCCAGGTTTTCAACGGTGGTCTAAAACTTATCGTCATATGATCTCAGTGTTATTCGTCAGAACTCGTCGCCTTAACTACAGCATATAATCTTTCTTACTCTTTATGAATGACGTTTTCTTGGTACTACCAATGGTATTTTGTCTAGTGAGTAATTTGGAGTACTTAGTATTCAATGGACGCGAAATTTGTCGTTTTCAATTTTGATTTTTCAATATTTTGTTTATTGCGATACAGAAATGATAATAATATTGGATTTGCGAACGTAGAATTTTATGAAATTATGGTAAACGGTTGTTTGCTCTAGTATTTTTAGTTGTTTTTAATATTCCATCAAAATTTTTAAATTATTATTATTTCACTGTTCATCATTGACCTAGAAATTACCTTGATTAGTTCAAAGTACTTTTCATTTATGCACAAAAATCTTTTCTATATGTTAGAGTAAAGCCTAATGAACATTTGACTGAAAATAGTTACAAGAAGGCATTGATTAAAACACCATTTTACAGAGTAGAAAAGATATGTACCACCGATAAACTGGAAGAAGAATTAATGAACGTAGAAAAATGTCTAAAAGACTACTTTTATCCACAAAAGTTTATTAACAAATATAAAAAGCCCAAAGAAGACAAGACGGAAATAACTACGGTTAGTAAGAAGCCAGTATATATAAATCCTAACTTTAAAGGTGATAACGTCACACAAATAATCAACAGGAGACTGAACACTGCATTAGCCAGAACTTATCCGGCTGCTAAACTTTTAACTCTCTATAAAACAACATGTTCAATAACCCAATCAAAGATCGACAAGCACCCCTTTCACATTACCGCCAACTGTATTTATAAATTTATGTGTACCTGCCAAAGCCGCTACATCGGCCGAACTGAAAGGAGAGCATATCTTAGATTTTTTGAACATGTTCTAAAGTATTAGAACAAGGAAAAGAATGACTCTGAATATTGCAATCACCAAACATCTCCTTGATACGGGACATCAGGTAGATACTTTACAATCCTTTAGGGTAATTAGTAAGCAGCCAAACTCCAGTCTTCTGAAGTTTGCTGAAGCCGTTGCCATCAGGCGTCAAAAACCTGACCTATGTATTCAAAAAGAGACGGTTCTTAATCTTTCCTTGCCTTGGTGACAAATATTCTTTCGCTGAACCTTAAGAGATTTTTTTCTTTTTTCTTTTGTATTTATAACATCATTGATTTTACTTTATTCTATTCAACTATCTTTCAAATTAATAATCGTTCAACTGAACTCTACTCACTGTATTCCTATCAATGTTTATTCATTATGTAATCAATTGTTTCTAACCCACTTTTGAACTGTTGTCACAATTAATGTTGTAGAATATTCTTTCACATTAGGTATATATTTACAATATTTAGTAAGCAATTTAAACCCATTATGTAATTATGATTTTAAATATCACAGGTTGTAAGCACTTATCACATCATTGAGTTTTATTCCAACTATCTTCCAGATTAATAATCTTATTTTATCAACTGAACTCTACTCATTTTATTCCTATCAAGGTTTATTTGTTTCTAACCGTTTGAACTGTTGTCACAATGTTCTTTCATCACATAAGGTATATATTTACAATATTCAGTCTATTAAATTTATTTATACCCTTGCTATACTATACGAATATGTCTTCAATATAACATCCAATCAAACTCTTTCATGTAATTTAAACCCACTATGTAATTATGATTTTAAATATCACAGGTTGTAAGCAGCTGACGAGAACCAACGAAATAAAAATGAATGCATGCTATTCTGCTAGAATGTTTGTTCTTGCTCTTTTCAAAATGATAAAAGGAACTATGTGTATGAAAATAGTATTGTTGGTTTTTGTGTTGTCCTAAGTTACGCAGTCAGAATTTCCGATACGAGCGTCAAAACAGTTCTACTATACGGAGCTAAAATTTATAGAACTAATACGTCATCAAAAAAAGTACAAGTCCTTATAAACAATTGTCTACACAAGATACTCAGTGTCCATTGGTTGGATATCATCAGCAACATTCCACTGTGGGAGAGAACAAACTAGCTTCCAGATGAAGAGGAAATTATAAAAAAATGCTGTAAGTGGATAAGACATACATTACGCAAATCATTAAACTGTATCACGAGGTACGTCCTAACTTGGAATCCTGATGGTAAATGGAAAAGAGGAAGCCTGAAGAACACACTACGTCGGGAATTGAAAGCAGACGTGACAATGATGAGTAGCAACTGGGAAGAACTGGAGAGGATTGTCTAGGACAGAGTTGGATGGAGCAGCCTATGCTCGTCCACGGGGGAAGACAGGTGTAAGTAGGTAAGTAATTTGCACAGTGGGAATTCTTAATATTTTATGGTCTTATAAATTAAAGAGTACCAAAGACAATTGTGGCAAGCTATTACGAAAATATAGTATATAATTGATCGGATCCAGAACACTCACTTTCTTTCCTTATCTAACATCAAATTATTTGGAAACAAATCACATAATACACAGTTTTCAGATTAAGTCAATAATTGACGTTTAATGATTTTCTTTATTTCACAGAAACTAGAAAAGATAAAATTCTTCAGCTACACATGTTAACTTACGTGTGGTCAAACAATTAAACAATGGTGACTAATGGTTTTCATAATGACATTAAAAGATAGACTAGTCACCTGTATAATCTCAAATTTACTTAGTCTCAACGTTTCAAACATTCTACTATAACCAAATGATGTAACAACATTATCCAGATGATTTTGAAAAACTGGATTCGATAGCAAGAGAAAACAAACGTATGGCACACCTTTGGCTGCCGACTCAGTGGTCTAGTAGTTGGACGCTCGTGCGCAAAACCGATAGGTCCTGGGTTCGAATCCCGTTACAAAGGGTCGTGGACGCGCACTGCTGAGGAGTCCCACAATAGGACGAAACGGCCGTCCAGTGCTTCCAGGTTTCCCATGATGGTCTAGCTTCAACTGACTCATGATCTCAACTATTGAAATGTATGGCAATTATGAATAGCCCTTTTCAGTATTGCCTGTTTCATCGATTACTTTTGAAACAATCAACTTACTTGATAATGAAAAATAAAAATAAATATGATCGAAAAAAACAACGATTCAACTTTCCCACAGTTTATAATAGAAAGAGGAAAATAGGAAAACAAGGTACTAAAATAAGAAAAAAACTGAGTGAATATAAAATGAATGATTAGTAAAAGAAGAAATCAGTGTTGAAAAAATAAAAGGTGAATTCATTTGGATCATTGTCAGTAATACTAAATTTAATTACTTCACGTTTTAACAAAATTGGTGGAATTTAACTAAGAGTAGAATCCAGAACACGTGTCTCATCGTGCACTCATAATACTCCGAAGAAGTCCACGACTGAATAGCATGAATTTACCAATCTCTTCCTTAGTTAATGGCTCTGTCACATAGATATCAATAGGACGGAGTTAACGTCTAAGTAAGACACTCATGATTTGATAGACAACACCCATCTGTCTGTT